CATAAACATAAATAGGCCTGGACCATCAAATTTAGTTGGCCTTGGCCACCAACTTGCCTGCTGCTGCTGTTTGGCCTGCCGCAGTCAATCGCCTTGCCTTAATCGCAATCTGTCACAAAACAGCCCCAGAATAAACCCAACCGAGGACGTAGTAGTCCTGCGGCCAAGGCACCCTTAAATGCGGAATCAAACATTCGAGGACGGTAGTCAGGCTCAGGGATTTGCAGGGACAGAGGGAAATGTGGAAAGCAAATTGCAGGCGCAGGAACTGGCTTGCTTATCGTTTGTAATGAGACAGCGTTCGGTTCGGGGAAAATATTAAAATTGAATTTTCATTTTGCCGCCTTAAGGTTCCCGGAAAAAGAACGCTTCACACTTGAGTGCGCGGCGTAAACAATTTATAGCCGAGAAAACAGAAGCCTTCAAAATTAAGAAAAACAAAGGACAAAGGAAGTTGGCTTTTCCTAGGCTTGATTATGGTAATATTTTCTTCTAAACATGTTTACTATATAATCTTAGGCTAATATGTTGGCAGAATAATTGCTTGGGGAACCTTGGATATTTTATGATATTCATTTATCCAAGGCATCCTCATAAGAATAATAAATATTCGCTAATAAATTGAATTATCATATTCGCCAAAGTAATTGCTTGGCGCAGCAGAAATGTATGCTACATAAAACATAATGACACATTATTACAGTTACAATTTAGAGGAGCCATATTGTCTGCTATATCATCCCCGCGTCCACTTGAATTTTAATGCCCTTTTCACACCCGGTCACTGCCATGTTGCATTTTCCCCCACTCTGGGTGCTTCCGCTTCGGATGCCTGACAGTTTAATTGCCCGGGGAGCCACCCCCAGAGCCGACCGCCCCACTCGTCAAGGCCGCCCTCCCAATCAGACCCACTCACTGGTTGTTTCCTCACTTTTATTTACACAATTGTCTTGTCTTTTGTTTGGGGCTCTCATCTGGTTTCCGTTTCGGTGTTTTTTTTTTTTGTTCCCCTACGTCGTTTCGGGTGTAATTGCTTTGAGTACTTGGTCTTAATAGCGTGCGCCATTTTTGTTTGCTCAGTTCGTTGCCAAAAATAAAAATAAATCGTCAGAGCAGCAAAGGGTTCTGAACCTTAAAGAGGTCTTTAAACTAGACCTGAACTTGAGAAAAAGGTCACAAGTAATTATCCATCCTTATTTAGTGGCTGAGAGGCTGAGGAAATCTTTTGACTGATTTTTGCCTCGCTAGGCGTTTTAATTAAATTTCTGCTTACTCTCCTATATAGTTCGGAAGCTGTTTTCATTTTCAGCAGCTTTAACAGCTGGCTGGGCGATTCAAGTTACCAACAATTCTGCTGATTAGTGGTAAAACGACTCGTAACAGGCCGAGCGGGGAGGACGGAAAAGTTTCTGGTCCATAAATATCGAGTAAATCTCGAGCCGTTCAAAGCAAAAGTTCTCCCCAAGATGAAATTGAAAAGCGATTATCGCATCTGAGGCACTTGAAAACTTTATGAGTGCTCTTGTTTACCTTGCCTGGCGAGTTTTATGACACTTTTCAGCCAACTGCCCCGCCATTAAGTCGTTCAATGCCCTTGACCCGAGGCACTTACCTTCCCCAACGTTCTCCCTTGCCCTATTTATTGAGCTCTCGAGTTCGCCGCACTTAGGCACAAAGTTCGAGGCACTTTACTAATGCAAATGAGACAAACTCGAGGGGTCCTCGACTTCTCTGGACTCGAGCCCGGGCTTAAAACCAATTAAAATCCTGCCAAGAGAACAGCCCCTAAGTCCCTCTTTGCTTATCAATTTTAATAAATAATCAACGATTTTTTGGTCCTCAACGGTTAAGCGGCATCCTTTTTTTTACATTGTTCCCTTTGACCTTGGCGGCCCTGTAGTGGTCAGTTCTCAATCGGACACAGTCTGGAAAGAGGGTTAATGCCCACCCCGAAAACCCAGAGCCCTTTGAAGGGTCTGTTGGCTAATAAAAGTTTCATTTTGTCAGTTGCGAAAAAAGTGGTGAGTTAAACGCTTTCAACTATGGGTTTGGAATGTAGCTCAGCAAAAAGATTCATCCTCAAAAAAAAAAAACTCTTTAATACATATATATATATATATAGAGAATTTAAATTAAACTGCTTACATGTTTAGTTTAATAAGTTGTGTACAAGACTAGAAAAAGCTTGTAAACAATCAGAACAATGACTCTATTTAGTTTATGTAATGTACTCTACATTAGTGTTCTTCCATTAATGACGGGAATTCCCTTTATTCCTGTCCACTGTAGCTTGTTAGCTCAGATTTGTGGGCCGTAACTTTACGACCATACTGGCAAACTGATTGTCCTTTACAACATACTTGGCTTTACGTTTATTTGGGCAACATTTTTTCGGGACTATGACAGACGTATAAACCTTTTCGCTGACATTTTTTTCTATACGCGGTACCAATAGAGTACGAGGGTACTATAAGTGCCGACCGAGAATATATAATAGGTAAAATAGGGTCTTCTGATCAGCATCACCACCAGAGTCAATTTAGCCTTTTCCGTTCCAAGTTGCCGAGGAGATACTCTAAAAATTTTAACACAATTAGATAATAAACATGGAAGTTATACGAGTACAAAGTTTCTGTGCTGCATTTGCGCTTGGTGCTGCTCAACCTTTCCCTTGAAACATTTTTATTCATTAAGGTGTTGCACAACATGTACTTATCAACATTTGGCCTTTATAAACATTTTCATTTGTATTCCACCCTGTTTAATTAGAGTTTAATTATTATTATTGTCCATTACCAAGTATTTAATAGTCTATCAAACTCTACTATAGCTTCCTAACCTTTTTTATATTATTTTAAAACAAATGGCATAATAAATGACAAAAAAATTCAATACATACATATATCTTTGGTCAAGTGCAACACAAATTCCTCTAAAAGAAAGTTCATTAACGAAGAGATTCAAATTGAGGGTGGAACTTAGGCTCCACTTCCCGAATTGCAAATCTATACTCTAAATGCACCAAACAAATTATTTTGTTTACACTCTGGTAAAGAGTGTTTGGTTATATGGACGATTAGGGCCTAGTTCAACCAGACTTTGGCGAGGGATTCACTGCAAAAGTGCTGCCAATTGAGACACGCGACTCTTATTTGCGAATTGAAATTGGAAATTTGCGTTGATTATTCGCTTTGAGAGTGGGAAATTCGCGTGTCTGTCTGGACGAAATTGCCCGGGTCAAATTGGAGTCGAGTTCATTGGAAAAGTTGTTGTAGGTACGAATTCGTTATCGTATTCAACCAGTTTCAGGTTGAATATAAATGGTTGATTTCAAAATATCAACCATTAAATTACCTGATGATAAGCGACTACATTTATGTTCCTAATATTTTAATTTTAATGAAACCACAAAAATATCATCAGGTAATTCAAACGGAACAAAAATAAAAAAGGCTTATCTGAGAAACTGAAGGAACTCACCTCAATCCTGGACGAGGACAACCATTTTTCGGGCTAAATATATTTATCAGTATTATCCCCTTTCACACAAGAATCTATATATTCTTGCGCTTTTATTTTTCACACGAGGCGAGCGCGTGTCCTGCGCCGACTAATTTACATACGGGTCGAGGGGAAAAAAAGAAAAAGGAGACGACATTTACATAATCTGGAAAGAGTATGGCATACACGGTTCCGACTTTGACGTTTATCGCATTCGCATGCTAAACAGAATCCGCTGTCACCTTCTTATTCTCCAGAGTCAATACGCACGGATCTCGGAGCACGTGTGGCTGCCACACTAATGAGTGGAGTAACCCCGCCAGGGGCCACCTGGAGCCTCGCAATCAGCTCAGGCGAAGCGGAAAAGAACCGGGAATGGAGAACGTGTTTAGTTTCAAAACTTGACTTAATTAAGGCAGTCGGAATGACGTCATCAACGCCAGATTTTAATTAAAGCCAAGTGAAAAAAGGAAGCGTGTCGGAAAAATGTGAAATATATCTGCAGATGGCAGCCCAGCGATATCTGTTTTGACTGGACGTGAACCCGAAAGCAAACAATTTGCCGAAAACAGGGACAACAACAGCCACGACCGCCACAAAGAAAAGCTCTTGGGGAAAATTTATTTGCCAAAGAAAAGGCAGGCCAAAACGGTCATTTGCCTCATTTAGTTGGTGCCTTTGGCAACATTTTCCCCTTGATTCGTGTATTCAATCCCATTCCCCGATATCCTTATTCACACCCGAGAAGAGAGCTCCAGCGGAAGTGCTCCTTGGGGTGCTCATTCGCATCTGTGAATGATTGTTTGAATAATTGAATGGATCTCACGAATTTGTTTGGGGCCAGGCAGGCGACCAAAACCGCGAGTCGGAGATCAGAGGAGCAAAGTTTCCGGCGGAAAGGAATGTAGGGTTGCGCGGGTTCAAAACCCAACTCAAAAGTCTGCGTTATTCAAACGGTTACGCCGCGTAACTCACACTCATACATATAAGTTACTCCCGTTAGGGTGCGTCGAGGATAATGAATAAAAGTTCTTGAGTGCCCATAAGCTAGAAATATTTCTCACATCTTTAAGCAGCCCACTTTATTTTAACAATTAACCCGTAAAGATCAATATAAGTAACGGAAATTACATAATGAAGGTAGCATTTCCGATTAAAGCTTTAAAATTCATCAGCAGCCGACTAGATCTGGCCATGGCAGACATTTTATCTATCTGTAAATAATACTTGCAGTAATAAAATAACAATGCTTTCCTAAATAACACGCCCTAAGCAACTCCTTCGTACATATACCATGGAATTTCTGGGGGTCCTGCAATTCGACCTACCCTAACATAAGACCCTTCCAAATCCTGCCCAGCTTATCGCTGTGCCACGCACAATTTGCTCTTGGATTTCCGCTTGTGGCTGAGAGTTTGTAATTATCTCCGAGCATAAAATTACGTATGCATATGCTGCTAATTCGCCTAAACAAAATCCACTCGAGTATACATATATACCGTAGTTTCATCCTCATCATCATCATCATCGTCGTCGTCATCATCCTCATCGTCCTCATCTTCATCGCCTTCACAGTTGCTGCCCTTCTTGGAGCTCGCCTCGTCATTCCGCGTTGCCAACTTTTCGCTGCTCGCACTGAAAATGCCGCTGGAGGAGCCGCTCAGCGAATGAATGCCACTGACTAGGATGCTGTTGCCATGACCATTGCCAACATTATGGCCATTGGTGCCATTACCGATACCGATACCGTTCGCGCTGCTGCTGCCAATGTCCGTGAGCATAATGCGTTCGAACCCGGTCGAAATGGCGAGAACTTCCCCGCTAAGTTAAATCATTTAACTCGAAATTTATTCGTTTTCCCACGCACACTATCTCAGTAATATATCATTTATTAGTTAATGTTTTAAGCACTCTGATTGCCAATAAGTTTGTTTAATTTTGAATTGTTTCTTGCTGAGGCTTCAATGACAGACAATGAGATGTTTGAGTGAGAAAAATATATTTTAAACATTTAGCCTAGGTCCAATGAAGTAATAATAATTTTAGGTAAGGGAGAAGAAGCCGGAACAAATTGTGTTTAATATAATGAAAATTGGATGATCAAAAAAAATGTTATAATAAATTTAAATTAGTTTAGCAAAGTCTTGTAGTTACTTAATAAAAAAAAATGTAGGGATTTTTCTATTATGTGAAAATTAAGCGGACCAAGCAACGATCATAAACTAATTTAAAAGAATGCATTAAAGTTGGAAAAATAATACGAGTCGCTCAAGAAACTAATGTGAATGAATAATATTTATTCAAATACTGAAAACGTAGCTCCGTCCGCGCTGTAAAAATGACTCGTTTTGTGCTGGCGTTCGCCCAACGCGCAACTGAATTGCCGAAAAGCCACGGAAAGCAGGGAAAACTGGCGAAAAGCTCCGCCTCCAGCTGTACTTCGTTTTTCCTTTCACCCGAAGCAGAATGAAAATGAAAACGAAAGCGAAAGCTCTCGCCGACGACACAGCAACTTCTTCAGAGTTCATTCACGAGCAATGCTTCAATGAGGCCGGTCGGTCACGTGTGTTGGCCAATTTCACTTTCGTTGGCCCCACGTCGAAGTGGCTAACTGAATCCGGGCTAAACTAAGGCCAAAGCTTTTGGAGCTACATCCGAGCAGCTGTTGCTCGACTCCCCTCCCAAGGTTGACTCTTGTCGCCAGCAGGACCTTCCTCTATGCGACTCGTAGTGTGTCCCTCTTCCATCGACACATATTTCATTTGGCCACAATTAGGGGGGCGCAATAAATGTTTGACAAATTAAATATACATATTCCACCAATTGACTCGATTAATTGGTCGTTCTGTGGATCTCTCAACGGGAGGATAACAGGAGGATAATAAAATGGTAATAAGAGAGAGAGAAATAATAAAACTTGTTTAATGGGAAGCAAGTTGAAAGGTCGCCAAGCACCGGCGAATATAGAACATTGCCATATTATGGCTTGTTATGTGAGGATCTTCAAGTTCCAAGGAATAGGATTATATACCATTATAGGAGTCTTTTTCCTGATTAAAACCGTTATATATTACACTTCAAAACCAAAAGGAAGGCCTGATAACTGATCTTTAAATAAGGCTAACAGGAAATTCTTATTAAACTACGTGTAATGTTGTATAGAATAAACGTTAATTAAAAGATACATAGTTCGTCAGCTGTATTAATTGTGTTCATTAATATATATTTCTTTCATTTATTTAAAAAGAATAATAACAAGAAATAATGACAATATTCGATATTGTTGATGTTAATATGCTAAAACAATTAAGAAATCATTTTATTAGCTTGATTTGTCATTAACAATATTCCTAAAACTGAATATGAAAACTTATGTTATTATAGAATAAATGTGTTACTTAAAAACCTATATAAATTTGTCAGTTATTTTTCTAATTATTTCAATTCGGAGGTTATTCAAATTACTTTTTCATATTGTGCAACTTTACTGTAACACTTGCTCTTTTAAATCAAACATAAAGTAGATCTTCTACTGATCTCAAAAAAGTTTAAATTAACCAATAAATAAATGTAAAAATGAATAATAAATTATTAAATTGATATAGTATAACCATTTACTTTAAATAGTTCTCGTGTCGTAAAACAAGACTGGGAAAAACAATGTTTTCTTTAGCGACAATTATTTGTACTTTCTGTTATTGTCGGAGTGCTTTTGTTCTAATTACGACTGTTAGCGGCATTAGTTAGTGTCATGCACTTGTGAGCATTCGTATTGTTGGCTTGTTTGCAAATCTAATTCGACAACCACGCCCCCCTACCTACCGCCCAACGCCCCCAACCGTTTGTCATTGTTCGAACGAGAGCGCTAATAAATTTTACATCAACAATGAAGGGAGGAAGACGGGGAGGGAGGGGGATTCCCCAGATGGGGAAAAGGCGGCTGGTACGCGTGCATCTTCATTGTAACGGGAACCTGTGATTGGCACGCGCAGCAAACAAATTAGCCAGAAAGTTCTTATTGTTGTTGTTGCTGGTGTTTGGATGTAACGTTGATTACGCATACGCTGCGTGGCACGACAAGAAACAAAAAAAGCGGCGCAGACAATAAGAAAAGTTTCATCTCCCCCGCACCTCCCTTAGACAAATTTTATGGGAAATGTATGCACAAAAAAAAGCATTAAATGAGTTTCGAAGTTTGAGGCTGTCGAAAGTTTAAATGAAATTAGCAGGTTGCGTGTTTTTAGCTTTGTCTCCTCACACATGGCGTATACTTAATATGTGTATGATACCAAGGTTTGGGTTCTGCCATTCGATATGAGTAAATGTGTCGTGTTTCTAATCATGGAGGGAAAACTCCTAATGGGAATAAGAAAAATAAGACTTGAATACTTTATATTGACCGATTGTATCTCCCTTAAAGTGAATTTGAGTTGATTTTTATCATCAAAGTTCCAGCTAAATATTTTCGGACTTTTATCCTGAGCTTTACCTGAACTTTCAGCATCACTATTGTTATGGCCACCCGATCATTAAGGGGACTCTTTCGATGGGGCTCCTCCGGTTTAGCTTCCGCTTCCTCCATTGGCCCTGGTGGCTTGCCATTGCTACCCATTAGCCCAGCATCGGGATGGATGAAACTCATTTTGAACTTTGTGATTTGCACAGGTCATTAACAAGGAACTATTCGAGCAATCTCATGCCGAGCTAGTTGTGCAATTCGATTTTATATAATCACGCGAACACACACACACACACACAGCCCGTCAATAATTCAAATCGCCAGAATTCTCAGGTTTTTGGCGGGCAAAGCACTTTCACATTGGAAATATATCAAGTGCTGAATATTTATGGATTTTTGATATCGAAACAAGGCGAAGCGATCGGATCTGGCAATGGTGCAGTGTGTGTAGGAGGCAAGGGCCGAGTTGGAACTACAAAAGAATTGGCAGCCGAAGAATTTTTTTTGGGCTGACTCGATTTCCGCTCAAACAGGAAGAAGAGGAGCGCTGCGAGGGTATCTATTAATATCCCTCTCGTAGTACTCGTCTTCGATTCTCCCACAATTGCACTTGTCCCCAAGATCCCGAGAGATCCATTTCCTGGCTCTCAGCAAAGTCAAGTTCAAGTTTGCCGAGAGGCAAGGCGAAAGAGTTCAGTACACTCATTGATATGGCTAGTACTGTAGATCCATTTTATATCACTCTCGTGCTGCCAACGGCGATCTATGTACGTACAATTGTACACTTGCCAAGAGGCGAGGAGCAGCGAGCCAAAAAACACTCATACGCCGTGTGGACCAGCAGCAGTTCACTTCGCTTTTCGCATTCGCCTTTTACTCTGTTTGCTTAAGTGTTTCTTTATTTTTTTTTTCGCCCAATCCCCCTCCCCTCCTCCCCCGCTACTTTCATTTCATTTCGTTTGTTTGACACTTTGTTTGATTTATCTTTTGTTTTATTTGTTTTCGTTTTTAACGCACGACACTCAGGTGGCCGAAAGAGAAGCTGGATGGGCCAGGGGTTATCAAGATGTAAATTGATCTGATACGTGCATACACATATGTAAGTGTAATTGTTAATAAACCGGTACAAATTTCGGCACGTGACTGAATGTAAACAGGCCAATGGGATTAGTGTTTAACTTAGCATTTGGCAGAGGCAGCACAGTTTCCCACAATAAGAATCTCTTATGCTGCGCTGGCCACAGGCATTTCCCACGACAGCTATCGCAGCTAATTAAAGATATCTCATATTTGCATAGAAAAGAAAATGCATTAGAACCATATTTTCTCCATTTACATCCGAGGTACATGACATGATCGCGTAATACACATGATTGCTCCTAGTACATCGTCTCACAATAAACGTGTGGAAATTGAATTAGCCATTAATTGGAATGAATAACAAAGACAGTGCGAGATTGTTGCAATATAATGGGATTACCTGGCTTGGTGTTTGGAAGGAAAAACATAATTCTAGTGACGCAATGGGTTATTGCCACTTTTGAACTTAAACTCACTTTAATTACTTTTTACAGTAAGCCTCAGCTGGTTAAGTCGCTTGCAAAGCTTTCATTTTGTGATAAATTAACTTTTAACATTAATTATAATTGTAATTTTTATTGAGTAATCTCTTTTTTTCTGAGTAGCTTTTTATATAGTTGATATTAAGTCACCATGTGAATTACCTTTATAAAAGCCATGTAATTTTGTACCCCTTAGAAAATTTCCTGGTTAGATCAATCTAAATCCAGTGAGTAATTCAAGAGACTTCCCCAGCACCTAGTCCACTGACCCCATATGAATGGCAACACGTTTTGTCTGATCTTCCACAGGTTTGAACAATAACTAAGCCGAGAGAATTATAGTTCGATTTGAATAATGCAAAGTTCAGAGAATTTCCAGGTCGGGCGACGTCGCCGATGATCGGGACGCTTCAACTGAACTCTGTAATTTCCCACAGTTATTTCACAATTTTTTATGCATAATAATGGATACATGTGGGCCTGCTATATATATTTAAGCAGCTTTAAATCAAAAGTGTATTGTGGCAGTAGCAGAAATAAAAATAATTTAAAACACGCCTCCGCATGGTTTACGACTTAATCAATTACTAGAATTTAAAGCAAGCTTAAACTCTCGCCTAAAGGGTATTAGAGTACAATCACTCGGAGAATCCCAATAAACTATTGATATTTATTAGTTTGAAAAGTAATTTCAATCCAGTAATAATTAATTTTATGGTTCACTAAAAACTTTCCTCGAAAAACTTAAAAATTACTGGCTATCGTTTGACACCATTTTGTGAAGTCATAACCAAAATTTCCTTGACTAACTCTAATTGGTACATCTTTTTAGAAGGACAATAAAAAAAGTTTTATTACCAACCTTCATAGGCTTAGCACGATTGAGTTTTAATAAATTAATTTTTTAGACGTATACAGGCGGACAGGTGTTCATTATTTTTAAAGTCTAATTCACAGGACTCACCTATTGGAGAAAACTGGTATCCGGTCAGAAGGGCTGTGCTATTCTGGTAATCATAATTCGGCAAGAATATTTCACTGTTGGTAACTGGACTGCTCCTTGGCTACCGTTCACTGTGAACATTAAGCGGATACTGAATTCATGGCGAATCCGATCGCTCCCTTCACACTTCACTTAAAGTGCCAAAAACTCTACTAGTTTCGGCACACGCACACACATGTCGCCAACTGGCAGGCATTCGATATTCGAGTGTGGAACCTGGTATATATATTAAGCAAATATGTATGCTAATAAACAGCGTTTCAAAAAGAACGGCGAGCTGCGAACTGCGAACTGGGTGAACCTGCGAATAAAGCGGACTAAAGCCGCTCTGTTTGCCCAGCCAATTTAGCGCTTGTTGCAAAATGTAAACCGTTTTCGAAGCCGAAGTCGCGCGCCATTCGATTCGGATCGGGATCGTGATCGGGATCGGGACTCGGCCGAAGATCGGCCATCTCCGATCTACCACCCGAGATCAGTTCGTCGGCTCACGAATCGAGTTCGTGGGCTAGTAACGAGCATGGAAATTTTCTCATCGGCGCACGCTGCGCATGGTCAATTGATTTGCAACTTTTTTGTTGCTTACTTTTGGCTAATTTGATTGAGCGGCTGTTCTTCTTGTCGGCTAAAAGTCATCCCAACTTTTGGTTTAACTGGTTCGTCTTTGCCAGTTTGGCTTTCCTCACCATCATGTGATGCGTTGATTAAACAATAATTACTAATTGACAGTAATTAATAATTGTGAGTAAAAACAAAAGGCTAAAAGCGTGACATGTTTGAGAGGCAAATATTGTTCTATGACGTATAAAAAGGCAACTAAATCAGTCTTTAAACACTAAGTAATATTTCATTTTTTTATATAACGATCTAAGACTCTAAAAGTGTTTGGTAATTTAATAAATTCTTTTGTTATTGTTATTATTTTAAATTCAATTTCAATGATATAATTATGATAATGGTTGCTTAAAGCTTTGTGTTTAAATGTTTATAAATTTAGTAAAACGTTTTTTTATTTTAATATTCTAAACCTACAAGTACTCATCTCGTTTTTTATAATGTATGTATGTCGAACATTTAATAATTATTATGTTTAGTCAAAAATCGTTAATTTCCAACTTTGATCTTAACAACTTAATCTTAACATAAAAATGCCTCATATAAGTATCTCGACAGAGTAATCCTTAACTTATGAATTTTCTTTTTTCATATCGGTCGATCGGCAAACAGTTTGGCTTTCGGTGAACAACCCATCCTCTTTAGAAGGGAACCCTTTACATATTTTTATGAACAATTAAAAAAGAAAAAAATGTTCCAATATTGTTTGATTATATGGCATTTCAGGTAATAACCTAACTCTGTTGCGCCAAAGTAATATTTCTTTGGTGTTTCGCTGTTATTCTGACTCAAACTTCAAAGTTTTATTAAATTAATTTATTTAAATTAATCAAATTAGCATGTATTCATCGAGGCCAATTTACTTTAACCAACTAACTGCACCCCAAAGGTCTCTCCCACTTTCCACTCGCTGTATTATTTTTCTAAACGATCGATCTATGCTCAACGGTGACGAATTCACTGATATTTCTACTGATTTCTTAATTTATTTTGTTTTCTTTCTATGCTTCGCGATCATCAATCAACAAGGCAATGCTAATTTCTTGTGACGATTATTTTGGCAAGTTGTTGTCGTGTTAATACCAGATGTAAATAAGCTTATGAAAATGGCAAAGATTTTTCTCTCTGCCTCCTGAAAGTCTGTATGTGTGGTGCGTATAACCTTGTTATTGAACTTACTGCTCGCATTTGCACGGTATTGGCGAGGGGGGTTTCGCAGCTTCCAACTAAGTGATGCCCATCAAACACACGCCACAACAAAAACAGGTGACAATCACATTTTTTCCATACAAAAAATTACAAATAACATTTGTCGCTAATTCAATTTATTGTGTTGTATTCTGTGTTTATTTGCATTGGCCATTTGTGGTGGGTCGGGTTGTTTACATTGGCCATTTCACACGTCATTATGATCGCCGTTATATAGGCTATATTATAAAGTTAAGTGCTAATAGGTTTTTTTCTTCCTTTTCCTTCGTCTTGCAATCCTTGATGCGGCAAAGAATGCTTCTTGCGTAGTCTCCTTCTCGAAAAGTCTTTTAAAACTGGCGTGGTTGGGATTTTTTTTTTGTAACGATGCTCACACTAGGTGGTGCTTTGGTTTTCGAATCTGTAACCTTAAGTCCTGCATTTGTAGTGTAACCTGGATCTGGAACTAAGGATGTGTCTGATTCTGTGAAGGTAACGGAATCTACGGGGGAAGTAGAATCTCTCAGGAGGAGCGCGAGCATCGATTGTTTTCCGCGGCTTCAGAGTTCTGCAGCGCGCCGACGACGCAGATGTTTTCCGCGCTTTCCTCCGTCCCTGTTGCGGCACAGTCATATTTACTCCTCACGTTCCTCTCGCTGATGGTTTGTGCCGTTTGTTCAGCGAGGTAAGGGCTAAGATGGAATGAAGCTGGATAAGCACGAAATAGGAGGTGGAGGAGGAGTAACTAAGAGAAAAAGAGCAGTCAACGCAGGAGGAACAATCAACACCGAAGGCGGACACGAATGTATAAAGCGAGCCAGAGCTTTTTATATAAATAGTTGCAAGTTTCTGCATATTCTTCAGTACATAACTTTCTGTCGCAGATAGGAAGGAAAAATTGAAATTATATACAATTGGTGTAAAAAAAAAAAACAAATTTAAGATTTTTTATTTGATTTTGATTTTTAATTACATACTAAGGTTTGGGAACATTCAAACGCGTTTTAAATTTTAAGTTCCTTAAACAAAGGTACATTTTTATGTATATTTGGAAAAAGTCAACCCTAAAAAACGTGACGAGCAACCAAATATAATTTTTAATTTTCGTTTTATTTTTAAATGCCATTATTTTAAAGGCATGTGTTAAAGCTTAAATATTTTATTAATTTTTTTATTTGTCGCCCGCGAAAAATTCACCATTTATGATGTTTAAATTTCCCGGCAATAGGAGAGGATTTATTTCTTCGCTGCACCTGGTCACACTTAAACGTCATTGTGAACCGACAATTGACACAATACAAAATATATTAAAGTTAAAAGAATAAATTAAGATTTAAAGTTTAAACGGGATAAAATTAAAACTATGCCGCCGACTATCAACAATTCGGCAATCAACAGCGCCGCCGACAAGAGGCCACAGCGGCAGACGGAGCGCAAGTAAGTGGCCAGATAACCAAGCCAAAGCCAACGCCGGAAGTCATACACAAATTCTTTGCAGATCGGAGATTATTTGTCGCGTAAAGTATGGAAACAACCTGCCAGACATACCCTTCGACCTGAAGTTTCTTCAGTACCCCTTCGACAGCCATCGCTTCGTACAGTACAATCCCACGTCGCTGGAACGAAACTTCAAGTACGATGTGCTGACGGAGCACGACTTGGGCGTGACGGTGGATCTGATCAACCGGGAACTGTACCAAGCCGACTCCATGACCCTACTGGATCCGGCTGATGAGAAGCTGCTCGAGGAGGAGACCTTAACGCCCACGGACTCTGTGCGCTCCCGCCAGCACTCGAGAACAGTCTCCTGGTTACGAAAGTCTGAGTACATATCCACGGAGCAGACGCGCTTCCAGCCGCAAAACCTGGAGAACATAGAGGCCAAGGTGGGCTACAACGTTAAGAAGTCGCTACGAGAGGAGACACTGTATCTGGACCGCGATGCCCAGATCAAGGCCATAGAAAAGACCTTCAGCGACACCAAGAGCGAGATCACCAAGCACTACTCCAAGCCCAATGTGGTGCCCGTGGAGGTGCTGCCCATCTTCCCCGACTTTACCAACTGGAAGTATCCCTGCGCTCAGGTCATATTCGACAGCGATCCCGCCCCCATCGGGAAGAATGTTCCCGCTCAGCTGGAGGAGATGTCACAGGCCATGATTCGTGGTGTGATGGACGAAAGCGGCGAGCAGTTTGTCGCCTATTTCCTGCCAACAGAGCAGACGCTCGAGAAGCGGCGTGCCGACTTTATTGCCAACGAGCTTTACAAGGAAGAGGAGGAGTACGAATACAAGATAGCTCGCGAGTACAACTGGAACGTGAAGACCAAGGCGTCCAAGGGCTACGAGGAGAACTACTTCTTTGTCATGCGGCCGGATGGCATTTACTACAATGAGCTAGAGACGAGAGTACGCCTCAACAAGCGCCGCGTTAAGGTTGGCCAGCAACCCAACAATACTAAGCTGGTAAGATTTTCTTTCCCCAAGCACATACTCATAAATTATTATTATTATTAACAAAATATACTCTAAATTAATATTATTTTTCTATGTGAATTTCTAAAGCTTAATGCTCATAACCCTTTAATCTTTCCTAGGTGGTTAAGCATCGACCTCTGGACAGCATGGAACATCGTATGCAGCGCTATCGCGAGCGTCAACTGGAGGTACCTGGCGAGGAAGAGGAGGAGGTCGATGAGGAAATGGAAGTGGATGAGGAACAGAAGCAGGTTATTGCCGAGACAGAAAAGACCGGCGAAGTTGCCTCGGACAGCGCAAAGACGAAAGAAGATGGTGGAGATTACCCGGCCCAAGTGGCAAAGGATCGACAGTCACGCTCCCGGACTCGCAGTCGCAGCGGGTCGAGCTCGGGCTCGGGCTCTGACTCTGGGTCTCGGGCCAGCAGTCGATCCAAGTCCGGCTCCCGCTCAGCCAGCGGCTCCCCTAGATCGCGCACAAACTCGCCTGCAGGATCCCAGAAGTCTGGTGCCGGCTCACATAAATCAGGATCAAGATCAAGATCGGGTACACGTTCACGGTCGCGTTCGAAGTCCGGCTCCCGATCTCGTTCCCGCTCAAAGTCTGGTTCCAGGTCCCGTTCACGGTCCCGATCCGGATCCCGCTCTGGCTCTGGATCCCGGTCGCCCAGCAGATCACGCAGTGGCTCGCCTAGTGGCTCTGGAACCAGTACTGGAAGCGGATCAGATGAGGAATGAAGAGTTTCAGCATATGACTCATTTATTAATAAAACGAATTGAATATAAAGCCCTTGTGGCCGAAACCCATCAAAATAAATTAACTGTTGTTTTATGGGGCCCATCCACAGTAGAACCATGTTGGCCGAGCCTCTCGTCGAGCAAAAATTTCATTTGGCACCAACTAGTGGCAACATGCTCGCAAGCATAATTTGCTGGCAAATCTTTGAGAAGCAAACATGGCAACGGACAACGACAGCGCCACTATTATTGCACTTTTGGCAATTAATGTTTAATAAAAATAAAGTTTTCAAATAAAATAAATAAATTGTTTTGTCATTTTAGAGCTGCGCTATCACGTGTTCTACTGTGGATAGGCCTCATTCGTTTTCATATCTTCCATATTTGGTTTCTGTCGCGTTTTCCAAACCTTTAAATTGAAAAATTTTAGTCGAGTTCGTAAGATTTCCATTTATGTAAATAGATGAAGATGAGTGCAACAGAAATTTAAAATTAATTTAAATTTTGGATAGATAGCTGCTAGAAGCATCATGAAATTACACTGATTTTTTAATCTGCGCAAGGTATTATAATTTCGGTCAGATATAATTTTCAAAAATATAAAATAATCGTCAGCTATGTTTTAAAAGCTCAATCAACGCTCACCGATTTATTATTATGTTAGGTTAGGTTAGGTTAGGCCTAATAACTATCTTAAAGAAATATATATAAATACTAGCTGTACCCTGCCACGTTTCTCTGTGGCATATTGTGGTTAAGAGGGCACTTCTGAATACATCAAGGTTATGGCAAAAGCATCTTCCTGGCATAAGGTGAAGAAGGCAGTCAGAGTTGTCGTGGGCGGATTCAGGACTCTTTCTTGCACATTTAGTTCTGTGAAATAGGCACGTTGACCATTCTCCAAATTGACTGCCAAGTGAACTACAGCTGGATAGCGTTCATGAATTGGGAACGAAAAAATTCGCCATGCAGCCTCGTTGCTGCTTATGTATCTTCCAGCCTGGTATTGAGAGATTTTATCGACAACTTGTACTGCATTGCTGTCACAATTTTCTGCCTGAACACCAAAAACTGCCATATCGCTGCCTTTATTCACGTACTTGCAGATATATTTAATCGATTTCACGGAATTGCAATATTCTACGTTGATGTGCGCTTTGTATGATTTTGACAATTGTGGTGAGTATGGAACCACCCAACGATTGTCTACCTCAATATCACCAATTCTCATGTTTAAAGTTGCCGAAGTCCCTCCATCTTCAGTTGACCGTCTCCTATACAGAGGATATCCATCGTCCCCTGTTACGGTGTTGGCTGTAAATGCTCGAGGATATCGCTTGGAACACTTCCCGTCTTCCATTCATGGTGAACATGGGTTGAGGGTACCACAAAGGCCATGGATCATGTTCTTGATGATAACATCATGCAAATCCGTATCAACCTCGACCCGTGGAATCTCAGCGCATATCACAACGTCGAATTCGTCTGGAGTAACTTTATCATACAGCCAAATCAGTATGTGCGCATGCGGCAATCCTCTCTTCTGCCATTCTACTGAATACATCCAGCACCGCACAGATCCAAAAACTCCATGTTTCACAATGAAATCCATCAGTGACTTGAGCTTTTGTCTGAAAACACGGGCTGTGGTGTCATGCCTATCCCTATATGATTGTCCAGGAAATAACAGCTGTACTATCTCGTCCCAAGCTGGATTGCATGTGAAGGTGATAAATAAATCTGGACGGCCGTAGCAACGAACATGTGCCATGGCATCTTGAGCATATTCATGCATGTGGCGTGGACTACCAATGTATGAGGATGTCAAAATCGTGAGCTTTCCAACGTTGGTTGTATTACGGTCATTCGTCACAGCATCCCGCAAATGGATATATTCAATCAGGAGCCTGACAGTATATGCAGACCTGATGCATCCGGCCAATAACGACATTGCGATTCGAGCTGTAATCAACAGTTGGATTATATCTGAATGCAAGACGATTGTATTGCAGGTTTTGATCTGCTGCAAGCTGTAAACGCACTTCAGCTATTCTTGCCCTGTCGCGTTCATTATTTTGAGAGTGAATCAAATCGATTGCTGCAGAACGCGACTAACTCTCAATCGTTTTCTCTCAAGCCTATCTGCTCGTCTTTCTGCTGATTCCTCGTTGTGTCTCTCGGATGCAGGCCCGTTCTTCGTCAGTCATATTCGTAATCTTACGTGTGTTTGCTTCTGTATTGCAAGTACGACGACCCAAACTCGACTTCTTGGGTGGCATGACTTCGTTTCTTACTGAACCTGAACAAAAAAATAAAATTTTTATCTCCAATTTCTTCTTTCAAAATGTTTTGAATGTTTGACAGGAAATGCTTTGATTCAGCTGGCTGCCTGTAGAAGGCGCAGCAGTAGGGGCACGGGGAAACGCTAAAAAAAAGTGATATATTCGCAATTGCAGATAATCTATCAACATCAAAAGTAGACAATAACCGATCTGGAACCTTAACGCATGTTCTCTAAAAATTTGGGCTTAAACGGATCAGAACTTTTCAACTTTCTTCTTTCAATATGTTTTGAATGTTTGACAGGAAATGATTTGATTCAGCTGCCTTCCTGTAAAGGGCGCAGCAGTAGGGGCACGGGGAAACGCTAAAAAAACTGATATATTCGCAACCGCAGATAAGCTATCAACATCAAAAGTAGAACATAACCGAGCTGGAACCCCAACGCATGTTGTGTAAAAATTTGGGCTTAAACGGTTCAGAACTTTTCAAGTCTATGAAGGATGTAGACACGAACAGAGCATTTTTATATATATAGATATATATTTTTACGAAAATAAGAAAATTTACTGCTCGATTGTGATTTCTGATTGTAATAAGTTTAAATTGTCTATTTGGTAATAGTGAACCACTATGACATGGCGAAAGACGACGTACCCACAACGGCGCTGGATATATTGGCTTAACTAGAACTATTAGGGCTTGATTATTAGGCTTGTTTTGCTCATGCAGGACAAACTGTTTTAAATATAAATATTTTCGCACTTTTAGATTTAGGATTCAGGAAGAGAGCAGCGAGACTGAAAAAATTCCCGATTATATTATTGAATTTCTACAAAATTGGGAAATGCTACCATTTTGTTAAACAATTTTAGAATCCTTCTGGGATCTCGGTCATTTGCTGAGTATCCAGCTACTAGACCAAAGTTTTGAAAGAACTTCGTATGATACGATTTTCCAAGAAATAATATTGTAGTCCGATTTTTATAAAATTAAATGTAAAATTCTGAAATATCAAAAAGGCTACATTGCTGAGTATTTTGAAAAACATCGAAGTTCTTTTTTTACTCTTGCAAGTTTTTTTTTTTTTTGTCAAAAGTTTGCAACGCAGGGATGGAGTCATCTCTGATCATTCCTACAACAGCTATATGATAGCTATGATAGATATGATAGAAGTCTAGTTAAAAAAAAATAGTTTTTTAATTTTCCAATCGTTCCTATGGGACCTATATGATATAGTCGTCCGATCCCGCCCGTTCTAACTTATATACGAGTGAGAGTACATTGCTAGATCGACTCGGCTGTTGGCGCTGATCGAAAATTACAAAATTATAATACCCTGCAAGGGTAAAGTATAGTTTTTCCAATTACAAATTGGTTTTTAAATTGATTAATTTTTTGTTGAATTGTCTATGTAAATGTAAGCCGTGCACATCTATTTTGGAATTTTACTGTTCTAGCAGCTGTTTCGGCATTTATCAAGTGATCTGAACTGTTCTCTTAGATTTGTCCGATCGAAAAAAGTGAAAATATTTTAATGGCAGAATTGGCAACAATTTAGAAGGCTATTAGAAGTATTGGAAAACGTTTTTCTTTAAGGATCTTCATGAGAAATCAGGAATGTTTTACATTTTAGACTTATAAACTATAAACTTACTTAAAAAGAGAAAAAATTCTCATACAAATTTTAGTTCTCAAGATTTATGGTTGTTACATCAAAGGACAGTAGACAGCCGACAATGTTGATGCTGGTCACCAATATGGATGGCGATAAGACATTTATATTTTTGCCCCAAGTGGTCTCACTAAAATAAAAAAGTCAGGATTATTTTGTTAAGAGTCGTGCTGCCTTATCATTAAAACTATATTCAAACATGAATTTAGCGAATAAACGAAAAATATTTATAAATGCCGCCTTAGTAGGCTTTATGGTAGCTTTGGCAGAAGAGGAAGAGGATGATGAAGGCAATCATCAGAAAATTGCTAGAATTAACCGCCAACGGCGGTGTTGGGTTAACCCGTATTTGCAGCAAAGGAATGGAAGAGGAAAATATGCGAATGTAAGTAATATAAAAAAAACTACTAATTTGTTCCAATTACAGCGAAGAATATTGTGTTTTAGTTTGAGAACTTGACGAAAATCCAACCCACTTCTTTGCCAATTTCCATATGAGCTTTGATAGTTTTCAAAGTTTATTTTATATGGTGGAACCTCATCTTATGCCAAGGAAATGTTCTCGTAGCGGCGACTTTATACGAGCTGAGCAAAAGTTGGCGGCAGTCCTCGAGTAAGTGGTGCTAAATGGAGTTAATTTCACAAGTTCAAGTGCTTCTTTCCACAGGTACTTTGCCCTGGGAGAGCTGCAACAGGACGTCAGCTTCTCTTACAGGATCAGCAAACAGCATTTCGGAAGCCTAGTTCCTGCTGTGTGTGAGGCCATCGCCCATGAACTAGGTTGGGAGATTCCGCAATGGGAGAAGTACTCAGTCCTGGGAAGTGCCCTCGACTATGAGAACATCTGTAACTTACCAAACTGTGTGGGAGCAATTGGCGGCAGGCTTATGGACGTTAAGCCTCCACTACAGCGCAATCGAGTAAACAAAATTTGTACTTTCATCTGCATTGCATATATAAAAGGGTTGCACTCATTCCAGGACATGGATTCCATGGCAATTTTTGCCGTATGTGACCCCTCCCTTAGATTCACTTACCTTGACGTGGGCGGTATCAGTAACGCCGACGATCCAGACCTTTTCGCCAAATCAAACTTGGGCAAAGCTATATTATCAGACAACTTTTACTTTCCGGAGGACAGCTGTGTAAACGGGTCACCGATGACATACTATGTTGTATCCGACGACAACACATTCCCATTGGTAAAGCGAATTATGAAACCATACAGAGCGAAGACCATTACTAGAGAAGAACGATTCTTTAACGATCGCCTCCACCAAGCGAGCAGTTACATTGACAAGGCCTTTGGCATTCTGAGTGCCAAATGGACCGTGATGCGACGGGAAGTCAGGTGCCGACCTGATAGGGCCAAGGGAATAGCAACGGCATGCTGCCTGCTCCACAATTACCTGATGCGTACAAAGCCAAAGGACTATGCAGACTGGTTGCCGGACCAAGACGAGGCTATGACTTCAATTAACTCTGGCATTACACCAGGTCGCACTGAAACCTACCCAAAATTGGTTAGAGATAGCATAAAGAATAGTTTAATTGTCAAAAAACTGGCATATCAGTGAAGGAAAAGAGCCCACAAGATCACAAGTACGCTTAAAAACTAAATCTTATAATTATTTTAATACATTTTTCTCTTGTTTTCAACTTCTTTTTTGGCAATCTCCTGCAGAAACTCAGTTACTTTGAACACAGCGCGTTGTGAGTTTTGGGGTGACATCCCGGTAAGTAGAGTATCCCAGTAAGCTAGGACGGTGGCATTTTTTGAGACAGGCTGCTCCAGGCAGTGCCTAGTTTCCTTGAGAAAATTGCTTAACATGTCGACAACTGACTCCTGAGATGTCGACGCTGCACTTTTTCTCGGTTTGCCCCTTGTCTTTGGATCCGGCTTGATATTTTCAACGCTTTCCGGTGTTAAAAGAGCATCGGCCGGAATCTCTGCAGATCCTGTCATCCAGTCAGCCACCTCATCATCTTCACCAGCTTCATCTTCTCCATCGGCTTCATTGAGAACAGTTGGGCTGGAAGGTCTTCTATTTTTTAAGAGTTAAAACATTTAAACTCATTGGGCAGTATAAAAGATTAACTTGGCTCTTACGGTCTCTTGATTGCGGGTTGAGGCATAAAGGACATAGCTTCAGCGAACCGCCAATCGATCTGTTTGGTAGCCAGCAGGGGATCGAAATCCTCTCCGTCGAGATGCTGAAATTTACCACAGTCACGCTTGAAATGATAGCGGTAGCTTTCTCTCAAAGAACTCCACGCCTCCTTGCAGTGAGGAACTAAAACAACGCATTTTAATAATTAGAATTGGATAATGTATATCTACATATATGGTGTCCTTAATTACCAGGTCTTTTTACTTCGCCAGACACAGCTTTCCAAGCAGCTTGAACCTTGTCATAATCCCTATGATATAGGTCCAAAACATCCCACAGTAGTGAGCGCCTTTTAATAGAGTGAATTAGCTGCAGTTTTTCCGCATTTGTAAAACACGGTTTTCTTTTACGGGGAGAACTCATTTTTTTCACAGTACACAATACAAAAAAACTTTACCACGACCTTATAATAGTACTCAGCTGCGTGACAGCACCGATAACGATACAAAATATAATTCGGTAGAATTATAAATACCAAAAAATACTATATGAGTATCAAAAAACACCATCAGTATAAAAAATTTAATTTAAACCAATTTAAAATTCTATTTGCTTTACACACTGTATCAGCTCTTCTGAATTTCTAAATTCATTTCTTTTTTTTTGCATATTTTTGTTCATGGCGGGATCTATTATTTCAAATATGTAAAAGAGTTGCATGTGAGAGCGGGAAACTCCTAACGCCATCATACTTTTAAGTATTTTTAATTTCGTGTCTCCGTACAGGCCTTTAAAACGGACTGACAAACAGCTGACAACTATTTGCCTCTTGCCCTCTCTCACTGCGAAAAGAATACAAATTATATGTTATGTTAGTTTGTAAGGAAAAGGGGACCCTTTAAGAGACATATGAATTGGAAACACGTAGACCAGCTAGGACATATGTTTCAATATGTGTTTAAAAACAAATAAATTGTTTTAAAATTAATTTTTTATACTGATAGTGTTTCTTGATAGTCATATGGTATTTTTTGTATTTTTAATTCTACCGAATTATATTTTGCATCGTTATCGGTGCTGCCACGCTGCAGTGTGGTAGACTATTAAATATAAATAATAAATAAACAAGACAGGAAGTCCGGCAGACCGCAGTTTACATACCCTTCCAGATAGAACTTCGATCACTATCAAATAATACAATATAAATTATACATATTTATGTTTAAAAACAATAAAAAACAAAAAGTAGTGCCTGCTTTCACTTCATGCACCTTTATACATATGTATATATTATTATTATATTTAAAATTTTACATTATCTAACGATCGTTTCTATGGAAGCTATATGATATACATAGTAGACCAATTTTCAAAAAATTAAAATAAAAATTCTCGAATGATAAAAAAGGTACATATGTATATTAGAGGTGGAGAACAATCGATGGCACTATCGACGCTATCGATGGATTGGTGCTATCGATGGATTGGTGCTATCGAGCCGCCATCGATAGCGGCGCGCACTCTCGATAGTGGTCAATCGCTATCGTCGATAGTGGTCGATAGTTTGGTTTTCTCATCTTTACCTTAAAATTGTGAACGAAAGCACATTGCGCGGACTTGTGGCATAGTTTTACAACCTGTAATTTATTACAAAATGGATCGTTTTCTTTAAATAGGTAAGATATTGTTATTTTGTTGTTATATTCTTATTTTGTGTATTTATAATGAGTAAAAGCAAAATTTTGTGTGACAATAACAAAAGTGCTACGTGAAGATGCTGATTCTGCTATTACGTTTTGTTGTGAAATACATACACATACATGCGTTACTTGTTCATATCAATGTTCGTGTATCTAAATAAAAATAATAAAAGTTTATAATTAATTAAAGGAAAACGCCAAACATCATCAACGGCCAGTACTTCCATTACGGACAAAGAGATTTGCGAGTGTAGCAGCACTGACAGTGAAGATGTTGCAACAGAGAAACCAGAACGCAAAAAAAAATTCAAAATTACAATAATAATAAATTTAATAATTATTTATTATTTTCAGATAAAGATTGTATAACCAATGACATAGTTGTATACTTTAAGTAAATATGGACTATTACAAAAACTAAGTAAATTTTTATTAAGATTACTGCACTATCGACGATAGATTTTCCTTGCTATCGTCGATAGTCGATATTTTATGGAATCTATCAAGCACTATCGATGGCGCAGACTATCGATAGTTCTCCACCTCTAATGTATATCTCAAATTTGATGAAAATCTGCTGTAAACTGAAAAGTGATAATATTTAAATGTATTAATTTCTCGAGCGTTCCTTTGTCAGCTTTATGATATAGTATATATTTATCGGAATATTCATTAAATTGTAGACAAAATTGTATAATTGTATATATATATGTTAAAAACTGAAAAGTTATAATTTTAAATTGTATTAATCTCTCTATCGTATAAAATGGCTATATCAGAAAATTGATAAAATTCTGTTACTGAAAACTTTTTTTGTAAAAATTTCTCGATCGTTCCGACATAAATATATGCGAATAAGATTATATAGAAGACTATCTGCAAAGTTTCATTCAGATACTGATGCTGATCAAGAATTAATGTACATATGTATATACTTTATAAGGTCGGAGATGATTCATCTCTTCTTCACTGCGTTGCAAGCTTCTGACTAAAATAATAATACCCTGCAAGGGTATAATGAGAGAAGAAAAGGACACGTCGTTCAGCTTCGTCTGGTTGGCTCGCCAAGGACATAAGTTAGTGGGCGACAGGCGAACCTGAAAGAAATCAAAGAGTAGATAATTAACGAGAAAACCATAATCCTCACGAACTTACACATGAATTGAACGTTGCAAACACTGCCAACAGCCGGGGATACTTCTTCGAATGCCACTTCGTCCCAAGTCCAAGGATTTTGATGATTTTCCGCAGTGTTTAAAAAACTGCAGTCGAATTAGCATAAGCCGCAATATTTTTGCTTTCCACTACTTCAACTGCTAGCGATATTATAAAATGAAAAAATCATTCTGCTTCTGCTTCTGAACAAATCAGAAGTCGCAGTCAAAGCATAGTCAACAAGAAAGGAAGCTAACTTCGGCACGCCGAAGTTTATATACCCTTGCAGATAGAAATTCTATGACTAGGAATCCATACCATATAAATCTATATATATAAAATGCTCTGTTCGTGTCTACTTCCTATATAGACTTGAAAAGTTCTGAGCCGTTTAAGCCCAAATTTTGACACAACATGCGTTGAGGTTGTTGATAGCTTATCTGCGTTTGCGAATATATCAATTTTTTTTCCGTTTCCCCGTGCCCCTACAGGCAGCCAGCTGAATCGAAGCATTTCCTGTCAAACATCCCAAAAATATTGAAAGAAGAAATAGGAGATTAAAATTTTAATTTTTTATTCATTTTCAGTAAGAAACGAAGTCATGCCACCCAAGAAGTCGAGTTTGGATCATCGTACTCGCAATACAGAAGCAAAAAGACGTAAGATTACGAATCCATCCGAGAGACTCAGCGGCTGAGAGCAATGCAGATGCACAACGCGAAATCAGCAGAAAGACGAGTAGATAGGCTTAAGAGAAAACGATTGAGAGTTAGTCGCGTTCTGCAGCAATCGATTTGATTCACTCTCAAAATAATAAACGCGACAGGGCAAGGGTAGCTGAAGCTTGCAGAAGATCAAAACCTGCAATACAATCGTCTTGCATTCCGATATAATACAACTGTTGATTATAGCTCGAATCGCAATGTCGTTATTGGCCGGAAAATATAATGCTCCAACTATAGACGAAGTGGCAATTGTCATAGACGGGGATCAGTTCCAACCTCGAGATATTATTCTCCAACGACGAAACGATCGATTGGTAAACGTCGCAGAAACTCACCGTTGTTACGATGCTTTGCAGTATCCACTCTGGGATGGTGCCGATGGATACCATTTCAATGTGAGGATGGCAGACCCAGTCAATGGTGTAGAAACGAATAAAAAGTGCAGCGCGATGAACATTTACTCATACCTTACTCATATATTAATGGTTCGGAGGACCGATGACAATCATATATTGAAATGTCGTCAGTTGTTTCTTCAGTACATTGTCGATATGTATGAAAAAATTGAAACAACGTTTGCTGTTCCTCCGATTATATCAGACGAAACTTCGGTCCGAGGAATATATCCATTTGCGGGATGCTGTGATGAATGACCGTAATACAACCAACGTTGGAAAGCTCACGATTTTGCCATCCTCATACATAGGTAGTCCACGCCACATGCAGGATTATGCTCAAGATGCCATGGCATATATTCGTTGCTACGGCCGTCCAGACTTCTGTTAGCTGTTATTTCCTGGACAATCGTCTAGGGATAGGCATCACAGCCCGTGTTTTCAGACAACAACTCAAGTCGCTGATGGATTTCATTGTGAAACATGGAGTTTTTGGATCTGTGCGGTACTGGATGTATTCAGTAGAATGGCAGAAGAGAGAATTGCCGCATGCGCACATACTGATTTGACTGTATGATAAAATTACTCCAGACGAAATTGACGATGTGATATGCGCTGAGATTCCACGGGCAGAGGTTGATATGGATTTGCATGCAGTTGTCATCTAGAACATGATCCATGGCCTATGTGGTACCCTCAACCCAAGTTCACCATGCATGGTAGACGGGAAGTGTTCCAAGCGATATCCTCGAGCATTTGCAGCCAACACCGTAACAGGGGACGATGGATATATCTGTATAGGAGACGGTCAACTGAAGATGAAGGGACTTCGGCAACTTTAAACATGAGAATTGGTGATATTGATGAGAATGGAGAAACGAAGAATATTGTATACCAACAAGTATTACAGAATTAAATGAATTTGAAAATTAATCTTTTTTGTTTGACTTATTTCTTATGCGTGCAACCGCAATATTCCACAGAAAAACGTGGCAGGGTACAGCTAGTATTATATGTATATGTATTATATGTATATATATATATATATGCAGCTTTACATTCACAGATTTGAATTTTTCTTCTACATCATTCATTCAGATAGCTTCAAAACTAAAAGACTAGTTTGCGTAGAAACGGACAGGCGGACATGGCTAGATCGACTCTGCTGTTGATCCTGATCAAGAATATATATACTTTATATAGTCGGAGGTGCCTCCTTCACTGCGTTGCAAACTTCTGACTGAAATTATAATACCCTGCAAGGGTATACAAATCAAACAGAGACCAAAATCAAAATCAGCAGCAGTCGCCGCTTTTCGTTTTCTTGCTTTCCGCTTTGCTGTTGCTTTTGTCGTAGAAGCAGAGCTCGCAAATAACTGTCGACCGTTTCTCGTTGTCTGCAAATAAGTGTCTTTTCTTGACACTTTACGAAAAAACTCAGAGAGCAACCGAAATAAGAGTGCTTAAATGAGCTCGCTCGCGCTCAGAGCGAAACCGTTTTTTTTAATTCTGTTTTGT